GATTGTACCATTTTACATTCCCACCAACAGTGTATAAGTGTTCCAGTCTCTCCACAACCTCTCCAGCATTTATTATTTTGTGTTTTTTGGATTGATGCTAGCCTCGTTGGGGTGAGATGGTATTTCATTGCAGTTTTGATCTGTATATCTCTAATGACTAATCATCATGAGCATTTCTTCATGTGTCTGTTAGCCACGTGAATATCTTCTTTGTAGAAGTGCCTGTTCATATTCTTTGCCCATTTTTTAATTGGGTTGTCTTTTTGTTGTTGACATTTTACAGTATCTTATAGATTTTAGAGATTAGACACTGATCGGATTTGTCGTAGCCAAAATTTTTTCCCAGTCTGTAGGTTGTCTTTTGACTCTTTTGGTGAAGTCTTTCGATGAGCATAAGTGTTTGATTTTTAGGAACTCCCAATTATCTAGTCTCTCTTCTGGTGCTTGTGCCCTGTTACTTATGGTTCATATTGTGTTTAGGAACCACTTCTATGAATGGTTTAGGATTGTGACATTGGACTCCTACAAAAGGAAATATCTGATATAATCCTTATCTCTGAAGTAAATAATGCTTACATAATGTAAACACTACTTATTGGTTGTCAGCTTTTAAAATGAACCGGTAGATAGAACATACCACACCTGTTGCCGTTGCGTCGATTCCAACTCATGGAGACCCTATAGGACAGAGTAGAACTGCCCCATAGGGTTTCCAAGGAGCAGCTCATGGATTTAAACTGCCAACCTTTTGGTTAGCAATCGAACTCTTAACCACTGCACCACCAGGGCTCCAGATAGAACATAGAAGACTTAAAAATATTATAAGCATTAACAGTGTTGAAGTTAAAGCACATCTGTGGGAGAGAAGAGAGAGAAAGAAGCACGTGTTCAAGTGATAAAAAGGTTCATGGAACAAAACATAGAAGTTTCAAGTGTGTTAAAGTTACAAAGTTAATCAGAGAAGAACTAAAGTAGCACAATTAATAATTGGTTGGAGAGAGGAGACGTAGGGGTGATATGAGATACTTCTAATTTTTCATAATAGGTGATATTGTTTAAATAAATCAGGAAATAGTAGTAGTTATTAGGTGCTGTCGAGTCAGTTCCAACTCATAGGGACCCTATAGGACAGAGTAGAACTGCCCCATAGAGTTTCTAAGGATTGGCTGGTGGATTTGAACTGCTGACCTTTTGGTTAGCAGCTGAGCTCCTAACCACTCTGCTACCAGGGTTGCATATTATTTACAGCTACAGAGGAAATTAGAAAAACTAAGTAAAAAAAGGATTAGAAATTAGAAGCAGAATTTATAGAACTATAGGGTAGGGAGTATTGCTTTGTTATTATAATCTTCTTTGTTTTGCTATTTTAACCTTTTATCATGTATATATGTTACTCTGACAAAAAAGAAGGAAAAAATAAATATAAACAGGCCCGATGGTGTAATTTTATTATTAAATGAATTTGAATGATTGACTTAGGAATTAATTTTTTTCCTGTGTTCATTTGTTTTATAGGACTTTTACCTTTGCAGTCATCATCCTTCTATGGTAGCAGAGCTGGATCCAAAGACTACTCTTCAGGCAGCACTAATGTAGACAGGTATGCATCGGTTATATGCCTTGTGAAGAGTCTGAAGAGCTTTCTTCAGATAATTGAATGATGGGATAGGCTGTGCATTATGCTTGAAGTGAATACCCTTATTTAAAGTAACAAAATGGATAAGAGAATCATAGAATTGTGACATTTTAGTAGAAAGTACTCTAGAAATGGTTTAGTTCAAGCTCTTCTTTTTTGATTTTTTGGCAAATGAATAAACTGAGATCTAGGGAGAGAGAGCCCTGGTTACTGTGAACATGTTAGTGTGCTAGCCAAGATGTCCTGCCTGGCATATCAGTGCTTAAATGCCTTAAAAATTCAGAAAAATTCTCTACCTCTGTGTGCTGCAAGATGGTCTTCAACTTCTGTTGTACTTTGAATTATTACTCCTATACCATTTATTCCTGAAATAAGGACAAGTGTTGGGAAGGGGTGAACATGGAGAGGTTTGCAGAGGAAGCAGATGTAGTGATAGTTGGTGCAGGCCCTGCAGAGTTCTTTCCATCTATTCATCTAAAGCAATTGGCTGCTATACAGGAAAAGGACACCTGCATGTGTCTAGTGGAGAAAGCTGCTCAGATAGGAGCTCACAGTCTCTCAGGGACTTGCGTTGATCCTTGTGCCTTTGAAGAACTGTTCCCAGATTGAAAGAAGAAAGGAGCTCCACTGAAAAATCCTGTAACAGAAGACAGATCTGGAATTTTAACAGAGATGTGTACAATTCCTGTGCCAGTTCTTCCTGGTATTCCAACAGCCATTACATTGTCCTCTTGGAGATGTAAAATGGCGGTGTCAGACCTCATCTAACTTTAGGTGTGAGGGGTAGAGGATAATCAGCATCAGCCCAAAGCTGATTCCTATGAGGTGGTCAGACATACCTCCACTCTTCAACCTTTTTACCAGTTCTGACACCAGCCATCCTTCTCACAGCACTCTGTGCTTCTCTGCTGGGTTCAGTAATTTGTTGCAATGGCCACATAGAACTCACAGACAATACTCACAATTATGGGGTTTATTAGGAAAGTAACAGGTTACAATTCAGGATCAGGATTAATTTAGAAGTAACAGGAACAACTCAGGATACAGTTCTTTGACCTGAACAGCTTCTCGGCCACCGCAGGTCCCTGCTTGGGCCTGGCCTCAGCCCTGCTTGGGCAAGTGTTACAGCTCTTTAGCTTGGCCCATAAGACCCCACCCAACTAGGAAGCTTCCTGCCTGAAGGTGCTCAGCTCTCTTGCTCTGCTCTGTGGGTACGGTGAGCCTAGCCCCACCAACAAGTGCCTGAGGCACTCCATTCCGCCGGGAATCCTCCTGCCCAAAGGCGCTCAGCTCTCTTAGTCTGTGTATCGGTGAACCCACTGCAGCCATCTGCTGGTCCTGTGCCACTGCTGGTCCTCTGCCGCTGCTGTCTCATGCTGCTACTGCCTTCAGTGTTACAGCTCTCTTGTCTCTTGGGTCTAAGAGTTTCTCGGTACAGGGACTTTAGGTCTAAAGGATGTGCTCTGCTCCTGGCTTTTCTTCTTGATAGCAGTAATGAGGTCCCCCCTCAACCTCTGGAATTGACTCTTTTTAAACCTAGCAGCTCCTGGCTTTACTTCTTGATAGCAGTAATGAGGTCCCCCCTCAACCTCTGGAATTGACTCTTTTTAAACCTAGCAGCACGGCAAAACTGACCAATCCCCTACAAGAATTTCGTGTACCTTACTAGCAACCCCCACAAGGGTTCCATGCACTTTATTTGCATGCTCCCAGCTAGTGATTTAATGAGAGTTACAAGACCATGGCTAGAAAGACCATATAAAAGCGATTCGTTGCACTGCAGAACATTTAGTGAGCTGGATGTAAGACCAAGCAGAAGTGCTTGGAGTTGAAGTATACCCTGGTTATGCTGCTGCTGAGGTCCTTTTTCCTGAAGATGGTAGTGTAAAAGGGATTGCCATTAATGATGTAGGAGTACAAAATGATGGTGCACCAAAGACAATATTTGAAAGCTGACTAGAACTACCTGCCAAAGTCATAATTTTTGCAGAAGATTGCTATGGACATTTAGCCTAGCAACTATATGAGAAGCTTGATTTGCAATCCCCAAATCTATAGAATTGGACTAAAGGAGTTATAAATTATTTAAGAAAAGAAGTGGAAACCTGGGAGAGTAGATCACACTGTTAGTTGGCCCTTGGACAGATATACTTAAAGAGGATCTTTCCTCTATCATTTAAATGAAGGTGAATGAACCCCTGGTAGCTCCTGGCTTTGTGGTTGGTCAGGACTATCAAAGTCCATATCTTAAGTCCATTTAGAAAGTTTCAGAGGTAGAAACACCATCCCACCATTCAGCCAGCATTGGAAGGTGGAAAAAGAATTGCATGTAGAGCCAGAGCTCTCAATGAAAATAGTTTTAAGTCTCTACCAAAACTCATCTGTCCTGGTGGATTACTAATTGATTATCGCCCAGGTTTCATGACTGTTCACGAGACCAAAGGTACCCACACAACAATGAAAAATGTGACAACAGAATTTACTTTTAAGCAACTAACTAGTGAAAATCTCCCTGTAACTGAGTATGCGGACAATATGAAAAAATCACGTTAGAAATTTAAAACCATCTTGCCATGGAATACTGATGTATATTTAAAAAAAAAAACCGTTGCTGTCAAGTTGATTCCGACTCATAGTGACCCTATAGGACATAGTAGAACTGCCCCATAGGGTTTCCAGGGTGCGCCTGGTGGATTTGAACTGCTGACCTTTTGGTGAGCAGCTGTAGCACTTAACCACTGTGCCACCAGGGTTTCCGGATGTGTATGGAGGGATGAATTACACTGGAATATTTTACTGGATATTTAGAGGAATGGAGCCATAGACTCTAAAACATAAAGGTCCTGACTCTAATCAGCTATGGTCAGCCAAGGATTGCATACCTATGAGTATCCAAAACCTGATGGCCAGACCAGTTTTCATCTCTTATCGTCTGTGGCTCTGAGTGGCCCTAATCATGAACATGACCACCCAACACATTTAATCCTAAGGATGACAGTATACCTGTAAATAGAAATCTATTGATAACATGATGGGCCCAAGCAGCAATTCTCCCCTACAGGAGTTTATGAATTTGCTCCTTTGGAACAGGGTGATGGATTTCTTTCACAGATAAATGCTCAGAACTGTGGGTATTATAAAACATGGTATTAAAGATCCAAGTCAGAATATTAACTGGGTGATAACTGATGGTGGTGGAGGACCTGCCTACAATGGAATGTGAGCTACAACTGATTGCATTTGCAGGTACATTTGATAACCAGATTCTTAAAAATGTATGTCAAGCTGACTTGAAAATGTTTAAAGACTAACAAGTGTACAAATATGTTATAGCATATTATTGACCAGAATGTTCATAAAATAATTCTCAGTGAAGCAAAAATTCCATACTATACAAAAATATAAAGAGCTTTCTTTAAAAAACAAAAGCTTTACATCAATGAATATCTTTTATTGGATAATGCTAATCTGAAATTTAACTGCTGGTCCTATAGATACAGCTTAGTTTTTTTTTTGAGATTATTAGATGTGAATATATGGCAATTACTAAGCACTTGTCAAGAAAGTGTGATCATGGAATGCAGCACAGAGAAGAGATGGTAAATGTAAAAATTGAGGGTAATGTTGGTGTAAATAATACATATGCTGTTTGTTGTTGTTTGGTGCTGTCAAATTGATTTTGACTCATAGCAACCCCACGTGAAAGAGTAGAACTTCCCCATAGAGTTTCCTAGGCTATAATCTTTACGGGAGCAGATTGCCAGGTTTTTCTCTGCTTGGTGGGTTCAAACTGCCAACTTTTCAGTTAGCAGCCAAGGGCTTAACTGTTGTGCCACCAGGGCTCCTTATATGCTCTATGTGCCATATAGTGACCTATTATACTATATTTTGTTTTTTTAATTAGAATTTAATCAGTGGTAAAAAAAAATCTTGATTATTCAAATAAAATGATTGAGGTGAAGTAAAGAATTTGATATCATATATTTTGGAATATTCAGCCTTGAGTACACACACAGCAATGAAAAGTAGAATTTTGTACTTTATGTGCTTGTACTTTGTGACTGCAGTGGTAACTAAGTTATTTAAATTTAAGAGAGAAAATTTGGCATGTTTCTGCTTATTAGAGGACTCCTAAAAGAATCTAAGTTTAAAAAAAATTTAGCTTGCAAATTATTTATTAAACACAATACAAATTTCTTCTCAAGGTTAATTAGAATGACTATATACATTCCACGAAGAAGTGATTGAGAAAAGAAATTTCTTTCATGTAAAGCTGCTCAAAGGTAAGGTGAAAATTTCCAGGTCAGTGAGAAAACTAAAGACTGAAGTTATAAGGCATATGGACAGAAGAGTCTAAAGTCAGGTGTTGAGGGCTGGGGCTTCAAAACCAACATAAAATTGGGAACTGAGCATGACCCCAGACCAGAACTTGTTTTCTTATATGAAGTTGCACGAAACCAGGTATCTAGAACTGCTCTCTGCGTTAGTAAACGAAGACAAAACACCTGTGTATAACTACCTGGAATTGCAACCATAAACATGCTACTTGCCTGATGTTCCCTAAGGAGAGAGCAAAGACACAAAAAAGGGAATTGCAATGACTGGCATCTGCTTTAGTGTTACCTGCATAGGGGCAAGAATTATTAACCTCTCATGTAAAGTCCTGTGCAGCTTAGAAGGCCAGTCTAAGGTAACTGCTGTGCCCTTGTCAGGAAGGCATGGTCATGGAATGCAGCACAGATACAAGATGATAAATGTAAATGAAACCAAGAATCCATGTCTTCATAGTATTCTGAAAGAAAAGACTAAGGAGAATAGAAGCAAGGAAATAGTCAAAGAAATAATGGATGAAAATGAAGAAAGTTCTCACATTGAAAACTTCAACAAATGGCAAACAGCAGATACTTAAGAAAAAATCCATATTGTGGAAGATGATGCATAAATACAGATTTAAAGGCCACCAGAGAGAAAATTGATCCTCTGTAAAAGAGAATAATTAAGTGTGACAACTAAAAACCATAAAACAGATAAATGGAACCGTATAAAAATTTCAAAGTTTTGTTCATCAAAGGACTTTATCAACAAGTGAAGAGATAACCTACAGATTCGGAGAAAAATTTGGGGAACCATATAGCTGATAACAGTTTAATATCCAGAATATATAAAGAATTCCTACAACTTAACAACAACAAACTCAGTTCAAAAATGGGCAAAGGACTTGAATATGACATTTCACTAAAGAAGATATACAAATGGCCAACAAACACATGAAAAAAATGTTCAGTGTCATTAGTTATTAGCTAGATGCGTATCAAAACTGCAGTGAGATACCACCTCACTCCCACTAGAATGGCTATGATTTAAAAAAAAAAACAATAGGTGTTGGCAAGGATGTGGAGAAATTGGAACCCTCCGCAGTTGCTGGTGGGAATGCAAAATGGAACAGTGCTATGAAAAACAGTTTGGCGGTGCCTCAAAAAGTTGAACACAGAACTGTCATATGACCCAGCAGTCCCAGTCTTAGGTATATATATACCCGATGTTAGGTATATATACCTGAAAGAATTGAAAGCAAGAATGCAAACAGAAACCTGTACAACCGGTGATCGTTGCAGCACTATGACAGTAGTCAAAAGGTGGAAACATCCTAAATGTCCACCAACGAATGGATAAACAAAATGTGGTATATACATACAATAAAATATTACTCAGTCATAAAGAGAAGTGAAGTCCTGATGCGTGCCACAACATTGATGAACCTTGAAAACATCATGCTGAGTGATATAAGTCAGTCGAAAAATGACACATACTGCCTGATCTCATTTATATTGACTTCTCTGAATCCACTAGGGGAAAAAAGCATTCAAAAATTGTTTTCCTTCTTCATTATCTATTCCTTTTTATAGGACTAATGTTTCAAGCCAGACTCCCTCTGCCAAAAGAAGTTTGGGATTTCTTCCTCAGCCAGCCCCTCTTTCTGTTAAGAAACTGAGGTATAACCAGGATTATACTGGCTGGAACAAACCAAGAGTACCCCTTTCCTCTCACCCACAGCAACAACTACAGGGGTAGGTAAATTATTTTGCTTTCTCTTTATAAAGTGACTTAACCGAGGTGTATTTTGCTTGGTGTAAAGAATAGTGTTGAAAGGAGTCACATTAACTGTAGTTCTAAAATACTTAGAGATGAGCTTACTTATTAAAGGCTTATCACTTATCCATAAATAATGTTAAGTACATTATCTGGTCTCCAAACAATCTTTGAATTTTGAAATATATATGTGTATATATGAAATAAATATAGTATGTATTATTATATATATAAAATACTCTATATATATGCATAAAGCAGAAAATGTGTATTCTCCTCAGTTCACACACGTCATCCTACTCCTGATACACTTTCAGTGTGAAATGTTTATATTCTTCCCAACCCCTTCATGCTTACATTTTTATTAACCACACAAAAATTGGATCATAGTATAATAACTGTAATAATAATAGTAGCTATCTTACATAAAGTGCTTATGTGCCAGTTATCCTGCGCTAAGGGGGTTTACATGTTTTTTTTTTCTCCCCCCTCTTAAATCCTCTCAGTAGCTCTATGAGATAGATGTTTTAAAAACCCCCTTGTATAGATGAAGTAACTAAGGCTTAGAGAAGTTAGTTAAATTGCCCAAGGTCGTACAGGTAGTAATACAGCAGTAATAAATCCAGGCAGTTGAACTCCAGTTGCATTCTTAACCACTATGCTAGATTGCTTCTCTGTTCTCTGATTTTTTTTACTGTGCATGAACTATTGGGATCCTTATATATTAATACACAAATTTATAAGAATGATTTAGGTTTTAAACCACATTGAGCTAGGTTTTCCTTTTTTCACAATTAGAATCCAGGCTATAATGAATATTTTTAATACATATATACATATGTTTTTAATACTTGGTTGGAACTTTTCTATAGGACAAATTCTCGGAAGTAGAATTGTTAAGACTAAGGAAGGCACTTTAAATTTTTTCATTGTTCTTACCAAGTTGTCCTCCCAAATCTACCAGTTTATTTTTACTCTCACTCAAATTATTGCTTTATACCAGCTTTAAACTTAACCTTCAGCTTTACACTTACCTCTATATTTAAATGAGTGGTGTTTGCCAGTTTCACTTATCTGTAATAATTTATGTGCTTTATAGGTTAGCAGAAAACAGCATAAAATTTGCAATGAAAACATTTCACTTTTCTCTGCTTACCTGTTGATTTCTCTGACCCTCATCTTTTTCTGGTCCATCTTTTATAATCTTTGCCTTTCGATTTAATACTTATTTTCCTTTGTTTATTATGATTGGCCTGCCTCAATTTATTATGTTGCTGTCTCCTTATTGCACAGCATTATTTTCATCTTATCTATCCCCTTTTCTGACAATTCTACATCCAGGTCTTGTCTCTGTCTACCTTGATCTTATTGGTCTCATTTTCCTTTTGCCTCCTCTCATTTATTTTATAGTCTACTTCTGGTCTCGGTCATTCATTCCCTTCAGAGTCCTTCGACAACCTCTTGAGGTGCCCATCCTTGGTGCTCCAGGCTCCCTGTCTACCTCCAGTGTTTCTTTCGTTTCTGTACAGTGCCAGTGCCCATCTCTAGAATCACTGCTTTCCTTTTTGTCATACTTTTTCCAAGAATTACAATACAGAATTTCAGGCAGGCCAAGTATCCCAAGACTAAGAACTCCTTAAAACAAAACAAAACTTAGTAGAGAATCCTGGGTCTAGAGGATAATAGAGGCTATTCTGATTGTCCTCATACATCCTCTAAAATACAAACAAAAAACCCCATAAAATTAACAAGAAGTGAAAATAAAAGCACACATACCGTTCAGCATTAGTAGGAGATGGAGAATATAAAACACAGGCATACCTCAGAGATGTTGCAGGTTCAGTTCCAGACTACCGCAATAAAACGAATATCGCAGTAAAGCGAGTTGCACAAATTTTTTTGTTCCCAGTGCATATAAAAGTTATGTTTACGTTATTGTGTAGTCTATTAAGTGTGTGATACCGTTATGTCTGAAAAAACAATGTACATACCTTAATTTAAAAAAAACTTTATTGCTAAAAAGTGCTAACCATCATCTGGGCCTTCAGCGAGTTGTATTTTTTTTTGCTGGTGGAGGGTCTTCCCTCCATGCTGATGGCTGCTGACTGGTCAAGGTGGTGGTTGCTGAAGGTTGGAATGGCTGTGGCAATTTCTTAAAATAAGACATTGATTGACTCTTCCTTTCACGAAAGATGTGATGCTATTTGATAGCATTTTACCCATAGTAGAACTTCTTTCAAAATTGGAGTCACCCTTCTCAAAGCCTGCCACTGCTTTATCAACTAAGTTTATGTAATATTCTAAAATCCTTTGTTGTCATTTCAACAATGTTCACAACATCTTCACCAGGAATAGATTCCATCTCAGGAACACACAAAACAATTACAGTAGTAACATCGAAGATCACTGATTACAGATCATAACAGATAAAATAATAATGAAAAAGTTTGAAATATTGTGAGAGTTATGCTCATCCATAAGAAGAAACTCCTCATCCGTTAAAGTTTTATCATGAGATTGCAGCAATTCGGCCACATCTTCAGGTTCCACTTCTAATTCTGGTTCTCTTGCTGTTTCTACCACATCTGCAGTTATTTCTTCCACTGAAGTCTTGAACCCCTCAAAATCATCCACGAGGGTTGGAATCAACTTCTTCCAAACTTCCATTAACGTTGATATTTTGACCTCCTCCTATGATTCATGAATATTCTTAATGGCGTCTAGAATGGTGAATCCTTTTTAGAAGGTTTTCAATTTATGTTGCCCAGATCCATCAGAGGAATCTATGGCAGCTATAGCCTTACAAAATGTATTTCTTAAATAATAAGACTTGAAGTGAAAATTACTCCTTGATCCATGGGCTGTAGAATGGATGTTAGCAGGCATGAAAACAACATTAATTAACAACAGTAATCTCTTTGTACGTTTCCACCAGAGCTCTTGAGTGACCAGATACATTGTCAGTGTGCAGTAACACTTCGAAAAGGATCTTTTTTTTCTGAGCAGTAGGCCTCAATAAGTGGGCTTAAAATATTCAGTAAACCAAGTTGTAAACAGATGTGCTGTCTTCCAGGCTTTGTTGTTCCATTTATAGAGCACAGATGAAGATTTAGCATAATTCTTAAGGGCCCTACAATTTTTGGAATGATAGATGAGCATTGGCTTCAACTTAAAGTCACCAGCTGCATTAGCCCCTAACAAGAGAGTCAGCCTGTCCTTTGAAACTTTGAAGCCAGGCATTGACTTCTCTCTAGCCATGAAATACTAGATGGCATCTTCTTCCAATCTAAGACTGTTTTGTCTACACTGAAAATTTCTTGTTCAGTGGAGCCACCTTCATCAATTATCTTAGCTAGATCATCTGGATAACTTGTTGTAGCTTCTACATCAGCACTTGCTGCTTCACCTTACACTTTTATGTTGTGGAGACGTCTTCTTTCCTTAAACCTCATGAACCACCCTCGGCTAGCTTCAAGCTTTTCTTCTGCAGCTTCCTCACCTCTTTTCAGCTTTCATAGAATTGCTCTGGATTAGGCTTTGGCTTAAGGGAATATTGTGGCTGGTTTGATCTTCTATACAGACCACTGAAACTTTCTCCGTATCAGCAATAAGGTTGTTTTTCTTTTTTATTATTTGTGTGTTCACTGGAGTAGCACTTTTAATTTCCTTCAAGAACTTTTCCTTTGCATTCACAACATGGCTGTTTGGCGCAAGAGGCCAAGCTTTCGGGTCTATCTCGTCTTTGGAGCTTTAATCCTCGCTAAGCTTAGTCATTTCTAGCTTTTGATTTAAAGTGAGATGTGTGACTCTTCCTTTCACTTGAACACTTAAAAGCCATTGTAGGGTTATTAATTAGCCTAATTACAGTATTGTCATGTCTCAGGGAATAGGCCCAAGGAAAGGGAGAGAGATGGGGAATGGCCAGTCAGTGGAGCAGTCAGAACACACACAGCATTTATCAGTTAAGCTGGCTGTCTTACATGGGCGCGGTTCCTGGTGCCCCAAAACAATTACAGTAGTAACATCAAAGATCACTGATTACAGATCGTCGTAACAGATATAATAATAATGAAAAAGTTTGAAATATTGTGAGAATTACCAAAATGTGACAGGAGACACAAAGTGAGTACACGCTGTTGGAAAAATGGCACAGATAGACTTGCTCGACGCAGGGTTGCCACAAACTTTCAACTTGTCAAAAACCCTGTATCTGTGAAGTTCAATAAAGTAAGTGCAATAACAACGAGGTATGCCTGTAGCAAATATGTATATAAAAATATAAAAAAAAATTAAAATGTAAGTTTTATCTCAATCAAAAAATTAAAATTATAGAAAGAATGAATAGCTGTTTGGGTAAGCCCACTGTCCTGTTTTGCATTTATTTGAAAATTGTAATTTTCTATTAGATTAAAGTACGCTGTTATTACAATGCTATAGTGCAGTGGTTCTTGAAGTGTAGTCTCCAAACGAGCAGCATCAGCATCACCTGGGAACTTGTTAGAAATGCACGTTTTTGTTCCCTGTCTGCCTGGACCTACTAAATCAGAAACTCTGGAGGTAGAGCCCACTAGTATGTATTTTAACAAGCCAGGTGATTCTGATGATTCTGGTGATTCTGATGATGCATACTAAAGTGTGAGAACCCCTGCTGTACTGAACATACTTCAGGAACTGGTGTTATTTTCTAAAGTGCTATTTCTTTCATTTTCAGCTTCTCCAATTTGGGAAATACTTGCTATATGAATGCTATTTTACAATCTCTGTTTTCACTCCAGTCATTTGCAAATGATTTGCTTAAGCAAGGTATCCCATGGAAGAAAATTCCACTCAATGCACTTCTCAGGTACTTGTTATGTACTTACTGAGTAACCTTTTACCTCATTGATTATAGAATAATGGGTTCTAGACATTTAAAAAGGAGCCCTGGTAGTGCAGTGGTTAAAACCACCAGCCGCTCCATGGGAGGAAGATGCAGCAATCTGCTTTCTGTAAAGATTACAGCCTTGGAAACTCTGTGGGGCAGTTCTGCTCTGTCCTGTAGGGTCACTATGAGTCAGAGTCGACTTGATGGCAATAGGTTAGACGTTTAAAATTTGATGTGCCATTGCTAGTAATTAATCTTGAGAATATCACGCCATCTCAAATGTTTTGTAAAACATGCGTTTGTCTTTCATTTTACCAGACGCTTTGCACACTTGCTTGTTAAAAAAGATATCTGTAATTCAGAGACCAAAAAAGATTTACTCAAGAAGGTCAAAAATGCCATTTCAGCTACAGCAGAGAGATTCTCTGGTTATATGCAGAATGTGAGTACTAATTATTTTCAGACACTTTAGAGATAAGGGAAATTGAAATGATTTAATGTGTTATCTCGTTTTTGTTATTAAATGAGACGTTCTGTATGTGTGTTCCTCACGAATTGGAAAACTTAGAGAGTTACACTAAGGTTCACTATGACCCTTCTGTGCATTTTATCATATTTAATAATGTAGATGTGGTTTGCCAGTGAAGGAAATTGGACTATTTTAGCCCCAAAGGCTGTTTTAGAAAAATAACATTTTTTAAAGCAAAGTAAAGAGTAATTAATTACTTCATGCTAATCCAGATGATAGTTAAGGATATAAAATCCATTGTCCAATTTTATTTAGAAGAAGTTTGACCTTGTTCATGTATATCATTGAATTTTAAGTGCTTTAGTCGTATAAATCACAATGTTAATAAGCTGTTATAATGACAAGAAATGTTTTGATTTGATTGAGAATGTCATTGCCTTCTTAGGATGCCCATGAATTTTTAAGTCAGTGCTTAGATCAGCTGAAAGAGGATATGGAAAAATTAAATAAAACTTGGAAGACTGAACCTGTTCCTGGAGAAGAAAATTCACCAGATGTTTCAGCCACCAGAATATATACTTGTCCTGTTATTACTAACTTGGAATTCGAGGTTCAGCACTCTATCATTTGTAAAGCGTAAGTAGTCTCTGAAAACTTTTTTTCCCTTTTAATTCTTTATGGCAGGTGATTAAAACTCTTCTGAGACATACCAAATGGTATGAATTCTTCTTATCTTCCTTCCCATGTCATGGGGAAAACAAACCCATAGATTATACCAAATATCTGTTTTCAGTGTCTCTCTTTCTATAAAAATGCTTGGTGAGGTGAGCATAAGAAGAATTTAAATACTTTGTCATATGTTTTAGTGCTGACTAAACAGTTAATTTTGATGTACAGTTGTTTTTCTTTTTTTTAATCACTATATGGAATATCGAGTTGTTTGGAAATACAGATTTTCATCTGATATTTTCCTGAAAACACCTCCTCATACTAGTTGTTTATGTTGTTGAACCAAATTATTTTTATTAAAAGTTTTTTTAATAATAGATCAAAATTTGGAATTATTTTTAAGTTTGCAGTGCTTTTTAATCACATTTACAAAAATTATTCAAACGGACTTTCGATATGTAGTTAATTTCCATGGTCGTCATAAGGATTTCTGTACCATGCGCTTCTTATTTTGATTAATCCTCTAGTCATCTATAGCACATCTCTGAATAAATTTTTTCAGAGAGGATAGAATTCTTCAGAGCCCCTATATAAATGAGAATGATTTCTGTGGCTTTCTCACATGACTTGATACAAAATTATTGAGCCACACACAGCCTTTTACCCTCAACATATTAAGTAAGCTGCTCCATTGTATCCTGTTACTCTGTGACACTTGGGAGAAACCTGATTTTGAGGATAATCTTCTCTTTTCTTCCTAAAAATCTGTGACGCTTACTGTCTTATCTGAGAAATGTGAAATTGTTTTGGCTGAAAGAATATTCCATACACCTTATCCTTCGAATTATAATTTTGCATGGTTAGACTTTATTCCAGCTGGCTGTAGGTTAGTTTAGTCAGTTTGCCAAATGTACTTATTTATTTTTTTTTAACTATTATTGTTTAACTTGACTAGTTTTCTATTATAAGGCAGTTCCATATATTAGTAATAATATATCATTGAATTTGAAGACTCATTATGAATTCTCCATTCAAAGAACTTAAAATATCCAAAACTAAACCCCTGATATTTCACTAAAACCTCTCCTCTTGCCGCTTTCCCTATCTCAGTAATGACAGTTCTTAGAAGTCTGGGCACAGCGTGAATGAGTTCCCTGCTCAGGTTATCACAAGGCTTAAATCAGCATGTATCCGGCTGCCTTCTCATCTGGAGCCCTGAATCCTCTTCTGAGCTCATTAAGGTTGTCGCAAGAATTTAGGTCCTTGCAGTTGTGGGACTGAGGTCCCTGTTTTCTTGCCAGCTGTCAGCAGGAACCCTGTTTCCTAAAGGCTGCCTTTAATTCTTTGCCACGTGGCCTCCCATAGGCAGTTCATAACAATGTTGTTTGCTTTCTTCCAGGCTGGCAAGAACACATCTCTCTGACTTTCCCTATCTTTGACCTCTAGACCTACATGTTAGGGGCTCATATGATTAGGTCAGACCTACCCAAATAATCTTCTTTATTAACTCAAAGTCAGTTGCTTAGTAACCTTTTAATTATATCTGCAAAATCCTTTTTGCCGTGTAACATATCATGAGAGGGATAGCTCATTATATTCACAGGTTCCACCCACACAGAAAGGCGAGGAGATAATGTAAGGGTGAGGGTTATTGGGGATCATCTTAGAATTCTGTCAGAGAGGCACTCATTATTTGTTGAATGAAGAGGGAATATATTATTATTATGGTCCAGTCTTCAACTGTAGCAGTAGGGAAGTGGGGCAGAAAATTGAGTATTGCTTAAAGTGCTGATATGAAGACAAAATGAAAACCAGTTAACTAAAACTAATTTAAAAAAATAAAATCACTTCCAAGAATATGGTACTTTGATTTCTGAGCCTGTTATTTAAAATTCTGTAAAAATATATCCAGTGACCAAATAATTATGGTACCTAATAGAAGCGCCTACACATGTGCACCAGAAACCTGCAGAATTTTCATAGCCGCATTGTTCATATAGCCAAAAACTGGAAACAACCCAAATGCCCATCAGTAGTAATATCATAAATTGTGCATGTTCGTTCAGATTATACTAGACAGCAGTGAAAATGAATATGCAGTAGCCATATGCAGCAAGCATGGTTGAATCTCACAATCATGTTGAAAACAAAAAGACTAGTTAAAAGAAAACATACTGTATGATTCTATTTATTTAAGCTTCAGAAACAGGCAGAACTCAGCTGTAGTGTTGGAAATCAAGATAATGGTTATCTTTGGGGAGAAGGAAGGAAGTAGTGATTGGGAAGGGTTATGTGAAGGGGCTTCTAGGGGATTCATAGTGTTCTATAATGTTCTGACAAGTCATCAAGCTGTACACTTCTAACTGGTTCACTTTTATGTATATTACACTTTAGTTTTTAAAAGTTTTGGGTTTTTTTTTTTTTAAATATACAATTTAAAAATTTAGCATTTTTAGAAAGCACTTCAATACTTGCAAGTTGAAGTTTTTACCTGTATTAATTTAATAAGGATTAAAGTAAGCATGTGAAAAGTCTTAAGTGCTGTATATTTCTTGCTGTATAGTCTGTGAGTACCTGATAAATTCAGAGGGGAACAGTGTTTCGCAAGTATATTTGTATTTTGTTTTTCACAGTTAGATATTTGTTTTCTTTTATTATTCCAGATGTGGAGAGATTATTCCCAAAAGAGAACAGTTTAATGACCTCTCCATCGACCTTCCTCGAAGGAAAAAGCCACTTCCGCCTCGGTCAATTCAAGATTCTCTTGACCTTTTCTTTAGGGTAAATAATATCTTTGACTTTTTTTTTCTCCAGTTTCTACATGTACAGTTTAGTGATTATATTCTTTGAGTTGTGCAACCATTCTCACTCTCCTTTTCTGAGTTGTTCCTCTCTCATTAACATAAACTCATTGCCCCATAAGGTTTCTGTCTAATCCTTCGAGTCGCTGTTGTCAATTTTATCCCATATAGATAGTCCTTAAGAGAACATAATGCTCAAGGCAGACTTTTTTTTTACTATTTAAGCTAAACTATAGTTTGGTTTTAAGAAGACCAGTGACCTCTTCATTGCAAATACCTTTTTTCAACAACATAAACGACAGCTATACATGTGGACCTCACTGAATGGAAAACACAGGAATCAAATTGACTGCGTCTGTGGAAAGAGAATGGAGAAGCTCAATATCATCAGTCAGAACAAGGCCAGGGGCCCACTGTGGAACAGACCATCAATTCCTTATATGCAGGTTCAAGTTGAAGCTGAAGAAAATTAGAGCAAGTCCACGAGAGCCAAAATACGACCTTGAGTATGTCCCACCTGAATTCAGAGATCATCTCAGCGATAGGTTTGACACATTGAACACTAATACCGAAGACCAGATGAGTTGCGGAATGACATCAAGGACATCATACATGAAGAAAGCAAGAGGCCATTAAAAAGACAAGAAAGAAAGAAAAGACCAAAATGGATGTCCGAAGAGACTCTGAAACTTGCTGTTGAACGTAGAGTAGCTAAAACAAAAGGAAGAAATGATGATGAAATAAAAGAGCTGAGCAGAATATTTCAAAGGGCGGCTCCAGAAGATAAAGTATGATAATGAAATGTGCAAAGACCTGGAGTTAGAAAACCAAAAAGGAAGAACACACTCGCCATTCCTCAAGCTGAAAGAACTGAAGAAAAAAATTCAAGCCTCGAGTTGCAACATTAAAGGATTCTATGGGGAAAATACTGATCAATGCAGGAAGCATCAACAGAAGATGGAAGGAGTACACAGAGTCACTGTACTAAAAAGAATTGATTGACGTTCAGCTGTTTCAGGAGGTAGCATATGATCAAGAACCGATGGTACTGAAGGAAGAAGTTCCAAGCTGCACTGAAGGCATTGGTGAAAAACAAGGCTCCAGGAATTGATGGAATACCAATTGAGAAGTTTCAACAAACGGATGCAATGCTGGAGGTGCTCACCTGTCTATGTCAAGGAATTTGGAAGACAGCTTCCTGGCCAGCTGACTGGGAGAGATCCATATTTGTGGCCATTTCGGAGAAGGTTGATCCAACAGAATGCGGAAATTATTGGACAATATCATTAATATCACACACAAGTAAAATATTGCCAAAGATCATTCAAAAGCGGTTGCAGCAGTACATCGACAGGGACCTGCCAGAAATTCAAGCTGGATTCAGAAGAGGACGTGGAACTAGGGATATTGTTGCTGATGTGAGGTACGTCTTGGCTGAAGGCAGAGAATACCAGAAAGATGTTTACCTGTGTTTTATTGACTATGCGAAGGCATTTGACTGTGTGGATCATAACAAATTATGGATAACATTACAAAGAATGGTAATTCCAGAACACTTAATTGTGCTCGTGAGGAGCCTGTACATAGACCAAGAGGCAGTCATTTGAACAGAACAAGGGAATAGTGCATGGTTTAAAGTAAGGAAAAGTGTGCGTCGGGGTTGTATCCTTTCACCGTACTTAAATTCAGTCTCTATGCTGAGCAGATAATTTGAGAAGCTGGACTGTATGAACAGGGCATCAGGATTGGAGGAAGACTGATTAACAGCTTGCAATATGCAGATTAGAAAACTTGCTTGCTGAAAGTGAAGAGGACTTGAAGCACTTATTAAGATCAAAGGCTACAGCCTTCAGTGTGGATTACACCTCAACACAGAGAAAACAAAAATCACAACTAGACCAATAAGCAACATCATGATAAATGGAGGAAAGATGGAAGTTGTCAGGGATTTCATTTTACTTGGATCCACAATCAGTGCCCATGGAAGCAGCTGTCAAGAAATCAAATGATGTGTTGCGCTGGGAAATCTACTGCAAAAGACCTATTTAAAGTGTTAAAAAGCAAAGATGTCACCTTGAGGACTAAGGTGCACCTGACCCAAGCCATGGCATTTTCAGTTGCCTCATATGCATGCGAAAGCTGGACGATGAATAAAGAAGACCAAAGAAGAATTGACACCTTTAATTTATGGTGTTGGCGAAGAATATTGAATATACCATGGACTGTCAAAAGAACGAACAAATCTGTCTTAGAAGTAGTACAGCCAGAATGCTCCTTAGAAGCAAGGATGGTGAGACTTTGTCTCATGTCCTTTGGTGGACATGTTATCAGGAGGGTCCAGTCCCTGGAGCAGGATATCATGCTTGGTAAAGTAGAGGGTCAGTGAAAAAGAGGAAGACCCTCAACGAGATAGATTGACACAGTGGCTGCAATAGTGGGCTCGAACGTAGCAAGGATTGTGAGGATGACGCAGGACCAGGTAATGTTTTTCTGTTGTATGTAGGGTCGCTATGAGTTGGAAGCGACTAGATGACACCTAACAACAATTGTTAACTCAGTTAAGAAGAAAATTAATTGTTAAATAGATTGGACATTGTCTTAGTCATCTAGTGCTGCTCTAACAGAAGTACAAGTGGATGGCTTTTACAAAGAGAAGTTTATTTCCTTACAGTAAAGTAGCCTAGAAGTCCAAATTACAGGGCATCAGCTGCAGGGGAAGGCTTTCTCTCTCCGTCGGCCTTCTCATCAGTGTTCCTCCAGACTAGGAGCTTCTCCGCACAGGGACCCTGGGTCCAAAGGACACGCTCTGCTCCCGGTGCTTCTTTCTTGGTGGTATGAGGTCCCCCATTCTCTGCTTGCTTCCCTTCCCTTTTATCTCTTGAGAGATAAAAGGTGGTGCAGGCCACACCCCAGGGAAACTCTGTTTACATTGGATCAGGGATGTGACCTGGGTAAGGGTGGTGTTACAATCCCACCCTAATCGTCTTTAACATAAAATTACAATCACAAAATGGAGGACAACCACACAATTCTGGGAGTTGTGGCCCAGCCAAATTGATATACACATTTTTGGGGGGACATAATTCAAACCATGACAGACATTTAACACTATAGCAAGTGTTTTAGATAACCTTAGAAGCAGTTCATTATTTGTAAATGTTGATTTGAAGCATATCAAATGACATGCTAAAATATGGTAGTGTGAATTAAAATTGGAGACACTACGTAAGTTGGTATACTAAGATCGGAGGGATGAAAGATGCTCTTTGCTTTTCCTTAGGTTGTATTTACCCTGTTAGAAAGAGGTTGAGTCATGATTATCCAAAGTTATAGTAAATATTTGTGTCTGTGATATTTAGAATGTTTTGGGGGCATAATTGGACCTGTTCTGTAGCAGTCCTTATAACTCATGGTAATTTGCAAGAATCCCCCCTCTGTATAATAGTGGTCCTCATTTTGTTGTAGCGGTTGGGCAGTGTTGACTTCCTAAGGCTAAAAAATTCTGTTCTCTCTGGTGAACACGCAGCTCCACCCAAAGATACTTCGCTGTCTTTTTGTTTTAATCCTTGTTTAGTATTTCTTTTATTATCATAGAATTTGAAGCTTTCCTATGTGTCTTTACCTTCTTTTTTTTTTTAAGAATTTCTTGTATCAGTTTTCTCTAGGTAATGATATCCATCTAAACTTTGGTCTTTTTAGAGCAGTTGTTCTTAGTGGGCTGTTACCAGAAGATTGAGTTCCATTATAAGAAAAGGGAACTCCGCCTAACCTTAAGGTGATCTTATCTCTGCTATGGCCAAATGTTAAAATCTGGATATACTCTTGGCAGTAGTTCATGTGTATCCATGGGGAAGAATTTGAGAATCTGCTGCTTTTTAGAGTCTGGTTACTATCGTAAATTGAGATGCTGCTTTGGTAAAAAGGAAATTAGAAATTCTCAAACAGGGCAAGATAACTGTATTTTGGGGATTAGGTCTTAGCGTAGTTAAGGGTTGTGGTTCTACAAAATTTAAACTGGTTCAGAGTGTCATTCCACTAAACTAGTAGAAAAAAAATTATCATCATCTAATGGGGGAATGCTAGTTCAACTTCATACTTCTTTATTTTTCCCTCTTTTCTTTTTATAGGCAGAAGAACTCGAGTATTCCTGTGAGAAGTGTGGGGGGAAATGTGCTCTTGTCAGGCACAAATTTAACAGGTTGCCCAGGTAAATGTAATGTGTCTTCAACTTTTTTTCCTTAAAGCTCATAAAAATAGTACTGAATAAGTGAAGCTTACCAGAAGGGATTGGTAAAGGTCAGCAAAATTGAGATTTGAAGAAAGTAGAGGGTGGGAGGGCTAGAATGCTCTTGCATAAGAAGGGAAGAAAGTTTGGGATGCTGTCTTAGTTATGTATATGCTGCTGTAACAAATATCACAAGTGGGTGGCTTTAAAGAACAGAAATTTATTTTCTCACAGTCCTGGAAGCCAAAAGTCCAAATCGGGATTTCCGCCTTGTTGATTCCTTCCTTGTGGATAGTCCTGGACATTCTTTGGCTTTTAGATGATCCTTACATGTCGTCTGTCTTCCTGAATGTGTATATCTTTGTGTCTGTTCTGGTGTTTTTATAACTGAAAAGTGATTAGGTTTAGGGTTCACTGTACGTTGGTATGACCTCAGCTGATTGATTACATTACATTATATTATAGAAACTAATCTGTTCTACCCAAGGCTGACTGATCTAATCACTTGTAACTACTCCATGAGAGCAACTAGAGTAGTGTTTGATCGAACAACTGGGAACCAAGGGCTAATTAACCATCACAGGGGGGAAAGTCAAGGAGAGGAGAAGGATCTTGGGAGTCTCAAGAATATGGCAGCAAGCCTACTCCTAAAAGAGAATGGGGCTGGTGATACTTTAGAATAACATCTAGTAGATTTTTAATTCAGTTATGTGTAACATTCAGTTATAATTTATTGTTCTGTGTTGTGGCTGTAGCTTCCTCTTTTATCCTAAGCCTTAAGTAAAAATCTATAAACACATACATATGTGTACCTGGAAATAAAATAGGAAGAGTAATTTTTTGCAGCTTGTGCATTCTTAATTTCATTCAATTAAGAATGAAATCATTAACTTACATTGGTTGAGATGTCTATAAACAAAAGTAAAATCAAACTATGAAAAATTATGTATGATGTGGTTATAGGACAGCTTTTAGTTCTTTCCAAGAATAGGTCTGAACCACAATGTTATTAAGTATTTATATGGCACTTGGCAGAGTGCTTTACTTTCTTTTATTAGCTTTGATTTTCTGTGAGTAAGTTTGGAGTTTCTGGAACCTAGTCCCTAGAGACTAGTTCTTTTACATTCCATAATGTACTGCTAGTTCTAGCAAAAGTTGTCTTAAAGAAATAACTTTTCTAAATCTTAGCAGTATTACTGTTGACCATATCTATGTCTTTGACTTCAGATACTTTGTTCTTTCCTACTTGTGAATGTGATGGGACTGTTTTGAGGCAGAAGGATGGGGAGAAGGTATCTTATGGCAAAGAATTGGTTGTTACCAGCTGTTATTGACTAAGGAAACCAGTGTACAATTAAAAAGGCTTATTTGACCTGGCAAGCTGAATGTCTCTTCCCTTTCCCATTCTCTAGCTATTTGGACTTTCAAGTAAAAAAAAAAAAAAACACGCTGAGGGACATTTTTCCATTTGGTTTTTTTTTATTTTTCCTGGTAGGTTGCTTGTGTTAAAAGTTAATTTATTCCAAATTTAAATGAAATAGAAGCCTCTGTCTCTTAAATCCTAATGATTGGACTTGCTTTATTTTTGTTCATGTTAATACCTAAAGCCAGTCTACTTTTATTCTTGAAGGGCCTGGTATCTTTATCAAGTGTGTTCACTTTTAGTCTGCCTCATCTTTGCAGATCAGGGATTTTGCCTATCATTTGTCAGTGTCCTATTATGTTTTATTTTGGCTAGGATTATTTGAAATTTTACTCATAATATTAGACATTTGTTTTAGTCTTTTCACATCAGTTGGATCCATGTGTTCTCTTGAGTTGCTGTGAGTTTGAAAGCTATGAATTCTAACATACTTTTTAAAAAGAAGTATAATCAATAACTGCAATTTCCAAATTTTTGAGTTTGTGGTTTCTATGATGAAGGTATTTATGGTAAGAAAGGAAATAGTTTTCCATAAATCAGACTTTTTTTTTTTTTTGCCTAGAACTGAGGCTTATTCCCATAATAATTTTAAAATTAATTTTTTAAAGTGTTCCTGTGTGCTGTGAAATATACTTGGTCCATCAGGCAGAGATTATGTTCTGTAACAGAGGTAAAAAGTTTACCTACTGTAATAGCAACCAAAGAGAATTAAGTTTTTCTAAAGAGGCTTTTTCAGATTTGGCATGCAGATTTTTCCTAGGTGGAAAATTTTCCTATTTCTTTCTTAGCTTTCTCCAGGGAAAGTGCTACTGAAAGGAGAAGAGTTCTTGTCAAAAATCATACTGAAATAATGTTTACCACCAAACATAAGGGTTATATAACATTTTACCTTAATAGATATTATTTTACTAGTAGTAGATATATAACATCTGTTTTTTGAAAGATCTCTATAACACTGAAGTGAGTATTTTAAGGATTTAGCCTAATATCAAAATCAACATTGAAAATTTTTAACCTTCTTGTCTGACATTTTTGTTTTCCTAGGAACTTTAGAAGTATTTTACCCAAACCTTATAAATCCACCCAATACCTGTTGTTTACACTTTTCCCTCACTTATCAACTATCTTGTTATCTGACATTTCACATTTATGACATTAGTAAAAATCTACTATCCGTCAATTTTGTGCATTAACGACATACGTTTGGCAGTAACAAATGCTGAGATGTGAGGCGAGAATAACACTGTCTGTGATGGTTAAGGTTATGTGTCAGCTTGGCTGGGCCATGATTTTCAGTGGTTTGGCAGTTGTGTAATGATATAATTTGATAGTTATGTAATGATGTAGTCATTCTCCATTTTGTGATCTGATGTAGTTATCCTCCATTTTTACATAACACTGATTTTGCGTAACAACCTGGTCTTTGGAACCTAACAATGTCGGTAAGTGAGGAGAGGATATATTTATATTTATGTGCCTGATACCTAGCACAGTGCCTGGCACATGGCAGGTATTCAGTAAATGTTTGAAGATCTTTAGTTTGGCCAAATATAGTCTTTAAATCAAAAGTTGTTTAATGCGGTTAAAGTGATCTCTCTGTTGTCCTGTAAGAGAGCTACCTCTTTTGAATTGGTAATGTCATCATCTCGTGTTTTTCAGGGTCCTCATTCTTCATTTGAAACGATATAGCTTTAATGTGGCTCTCTCACTTAACAACAAGATTGGACAGCAAGTCATCATTCCAAGATACCTGACCCTGTCATCTCACTGCACTGAAAATACAAAACCACCCTTTAACCTTGGTTGGAATGCACACATGACAGTGTAAGTCCTTTGAGAGGATTTCTTTACCTTCCCTTTTGAAGTAGAAAGGCTTTAGTATCCAATCAAATAATGAACCAGATAATATGACTCCCAGGTAAAATCAGACCAGGAAGGAGATTTCAGTTTTACTTTATTTTGGGATTTTAGTGTTAAATTACTTTACTGGGCATTGATTGGAAAAAAAAAATCTCAAAGTTCTTCCCAGTACAGTGGTTGCCTTTCATAATGAGATACTTCTAGGAAGTGCTCTTACTCTTTTAGAAGACAGTGTGAAACATTGTGGGAGTATAAACCACACTTGCATGATCATAAGAATCACCTGGACACTACAAATACTGATTCTTGTGTTCTTTCCCTAGTAGTCTGTTTCAGTAGATTTGAGGTAGAGCTTAGGAATAATTTTTTTTTTTTACTTAGTCTTCATTGTTTAATGTTATCTTTTTTATATGCAACATTTTATACATGAAATGGTGCTTGTTTTTCAATGCTTTATATCTGATTATTAATGCATTGATTATTCTTCTGTTCTCTTAGTGAAATGTTTCTTTTTAAAGTTGTGCTTTAGATGAAGGTTTACAGAACTAACTTCTCATTTAACAGTTAGTACACATATTGTTTTATGACATTAGTTGACAACCCCACAGCATGTCAACACTCTCCCTTCTCGACACTGAGTTCCCTCTTACCAGCTTTCCTGTCCCCTCCTGCCTTCTAGTCCTTGCCCCTGGGCTGGTGTGCCCCTTTAAACTTGTTTTGTTTTATGGGCCTGTCTAATCTTTGTCTAAAGGGTGAACCTCAGGAGTGACTTCATTCCTGAGCTAAAAGGGTGTCCAGGGGCCATACTCTTGAGGTTTCTGCAGTCTCTGTCAGACCAGTAAGTCTGGTCTTTTTTTGTGAGTTAGAATTTTATTCTATATTTTTCTCCAGCTCTGTCTGGGACCCTCTGTTGTGATCCTTGTCAGAGCAGTCAGTGATGGTAGCTGGGCACCATCTAGTTGTACTGAACTCAGACTGGTGGAGGCCATGGTAGTTGTGGTCCATTAGTTGTTTGGACTAATCTTTCCCTTATGTCTTCAGTTGTCTTCATTCTCCTTGCTCCCGAAAGGGTGAGACCAGTGGAGTATCTTAGATGGCCGCTCACAGGCTTTTAAAACCCCAGACACTACTCACCACAGTAGAGTGTAGAACATTTTCTTCAGAAACTACGTTATGCCAGTTGAGCTAGATGTTCCCCAAGACCATGGTCCCCACAGCCCTCAGCCTAGTAATTTGGTCCCTCAGGGAGGAATAACTATTTTTAACAAATGCCTTTGCTGATTTAGGGACATGCAAATTTGAGAAACACAGTACCAAATATTATGCTGGGGCCCCCAAAATAGATTTTACCTTCATAAATGTGTTATCACCAATTTAAAGAATTTCAATGGCTCCTAGAAAATTTTTAAGAAGAAAGGAACTTGAGAGGTGAAAGGGATTTTAGAGATTTTGTCCAAATCCCTAATTTTACTGAAGTTAAGTGATTTTCCTAAGGTCATTATGGCTAGTAACTGGCAGAGCCAGGTCTCATGGCTAAAGTGGAATAATAGACATTTCAGAAAGTGAATGAACATTTTGCCAATATGAATTGATACAATTTTGTAAAATGTATTTCCCCTAGGATTTATAATTAAAATACATACTACATCATGTAAGTTTACACTACAGGCTTCAGTGGGTCTACTGATTACTGATAAAGTCATGTGTTCAGTGAGTCCAAGTGTTTCTGGTTTTTCTCTTAAGACCTTTCTTTGGAATGGATATTTTCACTTGATATAAACCGCCGTCTGCTGGTAGAGATATTATATTACTCTTTCTGGCAGTAGTACTATACGAAGCCATCAGTGTTGAGTCTATTTGAATTTAAATCCTGACTTTACCACTTACTAGTTATAAGGCCTTGGACAAATTCTTTGACCTGTCTGTGGGGAAAATAATACGGTGATTGTGAGCATTAAATGAGGTAATACGTGTAGAGTTCTTAGAACAGTACCTGACATCTGGTAAGTCCTCAATAAATGAGAGCTGTTATATTGCTTAAAAGTTAAGAACTGAGACTAGGTAATTTTTCCCAAATCACTCTTTTCATATGCATAACATTTGACTTTATTTCCAATGCTCTTTAATTAGATTATTGGATCAGGGAGAGCATCGAAATGGTATTTTATTTTCTCTTTATGCCTCTACTACTAGTAATTTAAAAAGTATTAAAATTGTTTATTTTTTAAGTGGATATATTAGGGATTATAGTATAAAGTAATGCAGTTTATAAGTTAAATATATTTTTCTTAATATAATTGTATACATTATATATTTTTTAATTTTCTGATAGTTCTAGACCATTGAAAGCCTCTCAAATGGTGAATTCCTGCATCACCAGCCCTTCTACACCTTCAAAGTGAGTTATATTTCTTGTGTATCCAAAATTTGTATTTTTAAGGATTTGGCTTACCCTAATCTCCAAGATCGTTTCTCCTCCTTTTCCTTATTGTTTCTCTTTTTTGCATGATAACTTCTCTGTATTACCCACTTTGGAATTTCCATAGATCTGGTTTAGACTATAGCCTAGAGTATAACAAGTTTTTAACAGGGAAGCAAGTTCAAATGATCCTCTCAAACTTATCATTTGTTAACATATAATATTTCTATGGTGAAACTCTAAAAATTGACTGATGACAGATTTTAAAGATTAAAGGGTAAAATAACCCCAATCTATATTTCGCATCCTTCTTCAAAGGTAGGTATGTAGATCCCAAAACATCTTTTTACCTGTTGCTGGCCAGTCTGAGGCTTCTTGACTTACTCTGAATTGGAGGTATTCTGAAAGGGGGCAGGAAGAAAAACACACACTGGGATGTAGCTACTCTGTAAATGTTTTATATTTTTTGTTTAAGACCAGGATTGTCCAAGGAGGGAAACAAATGCTTTTTTAATATACCTTCTCTAAGATTTCACTAGAACCACAGTTCCTGATTAAACAGTTCTAAATGACTTATTTGTCATTTATCTTTAAATTTAGTTTTTCTAAATACTGATGTCCCAAAGTACTTTTAGAAAAGAGACACTTTTGTTGTTTAAGGGCTTTTGGGGGGGGTTATATAACCATAAAATGACATTTGGGAACTGCTATTTTCTTTTCCTCCTGTTAATTATTTTTCAGTGCAATTAAAACCAGATGACTAACATGACTAGAAATCTGAAATGGTACCGATATGAATACTCTTGCCCGTTCTCAAGATACAAATGAGCAATACCACTTGGCTGCTTAGAGAGTGAGCAAGTGATGCATTTACAGGATGAATATTTTTCATTGCTACAGGCAAGCTGCCTTCTGTGAATATAGTAATTATTAATGGAATGCACTCTTTATGTACCAAATCACTATAGTTGCAAGAAAGAGATGGTTTCATTGGGCATCATTGTACCTTGGCATGGTCATCTGTTCTCAGGGTCTACTGGTATAAGAATTTGAGAGTTGGTCAATAAAGGATAATTAGGCCCTAGAAGACCTGTCATGCCGATCAAACTTAAAAGAGGCTGAGTTACGAACCAGAATACTGCTGGTTCTTCTAATTCTACATTGTCCTTTGTCACATTTGACCCTGCTACAATAGTAGCCAGGTGTCACCCTCCTTCAGCAAAATACTTAACCTGGATAAATAAATTAATATGTTAAGGTTTGCTTGGTGAGCATGAAATCAGAAAAAAACAGAATTAAGATGGCTAATTGGCTTTTTCTAAGTTATGCTAAAAACCCTTCTGAACACAAAATGGGAGGCTATTTGAGAGTTCAGGCTGGAGTGCAGTGATATCCTGGCTGCTCTCAGCCGCAGACTATGTTTGGGCTTAATCGCTGACTGCTTGCCTCTTTTCTTTGATCTACATTGCTGTGCAATCCTCCTGATTTCCATTGCAGCCTCTTATTTCTTGATGCCATCATTTTATATGTTTATTTAGTTTTCATATTTAGATTAATCACATTTTTCTGATTTCCATTTTACATTGATTTTATTAGTATAGTAAATGAATTTATGTTACCTCCATCAAAGAAACTTCTTCCTCTTTGACCTTTACCACTTTTTCCTTTGGTTTGTTTTCAGCTCACTTACAAGAAAACACAGTAACACCTTACTTATCTGGTATCATTGAAGAATGATATTTGGTTTTCCACATAAATGAGTTTTCATGAAACTGAAGCTTGCCTTTTAAGGATTACATCTTTAAAAAATTATAACCATTTTAGATAAAATTTTTTCTAAGATATATTATTACATCATTTCTTATATTCTTAAATAAAATACACTAGAGATAATTTAAATATATCTTAATGACTTAGAATTAGCATTATGAGTATAACTTATTACGTTGTTTTAATGTAATGCCTTCAGGGGCTCTTAATTCTTATAAGGCAGTTTACCTTTAAATTAAATGACTTTATAGTTCTTTTTTGCCCTTTTTTGTGGTTATTCTCTCTCATTCCTTAGCTCTCATTTGTTGATGAACTTGCTACATTATTTTATACATTATTTCCTGGGGAAAAAAAGAGTCTCTATCTAAAAAGTTAAGTGCATGGGCTTTGGGACTGCTGCCTTCCTCAGAAGCCTTTTTTCTTATTTTGGAGTCCCTGTGTTCTGGAAGGTAGAAGTTACCAGAAGTCCGACCTACAGATAAGTGGATAAGTGGAATGTTACTGTTACTTTAGAGGCGCATGGATCATAATTTAAAAGATTCAAAAATTAGTCCTTACGCACTTTGTTGTCAAAAACATTTATTCATTGCTATGTCTGCATGAATTCAGTAGAGTACTTGCCTTATAAAGACAATAGCAAACTTCATTGGGTTTGATCATTAGAAGAAAAAAGGCACAAAGTGATTGGTTTACTGATGGTATATAGTAGCATAAGAGATGTCCAATTTCCAAAGCATGGCTCTTTTGGAGTGGGGAAAAGGTAATGCTTAGATATACCCCTTTTGATATATCTTTTTCCTCTGTTAAATCATTTTCCATTACGGAAAATGTTTTGTTTTGGTATTTATATATCAAAATAATAACAAGAACAAACGTTTATTTATCAGACTTATATAGGTTGTTTTTACCCTTAAATTACAGGAAATTTACCTTCAAATCCAAGAGCTCCTCCCTGGCTTTATGCCTTGATTCAGATAGTGAAGATGAACTGAAACGCTCTGTGGCCCTCAGCCAGAGACTTTGTGAAGTGTCAGGTGGCGAGCAGCAGCAGGAAGACCTGGAAAAAGTAAGCAGTTTCTCATCAAAACATCTGACAAAGATTTACCTAGCTCTTAATATCCAAACAAATGCCCTTCGTGACCAGCATCAGCAAATTTAATAAATATACAAGGTAGATCATAAACTTAATGGATCTGTTCACTAGGTTTAAAGGCTTTCTCTAGGTACAAAAAAAATATGTTTGCAGATGGACCTAGACTTTTAAGAGATGACAGATGTTCCAGACAAATTACTTTCTCTTATTAACCATCAGAGCTCCCTCTCCATATTGGACCTCAAATAATTACTTGCTTTATTTTAGTACTAATTATTTATGTGGAGGAACCATAGGAAACATTTTACATCAACAGACCAACCAAGTAATCTGATGTTTTAAATTATAGATGTGAAGGCATAGCTATATCATCTTCTTTCTTGACACTTAGTGATAGTTAACACTTTGAAGATCTAAGCTTTTCTAGGAGTTTGCATTACCTCATGTGGCTGTGCTTTATTGTAAGCCTCCTTTTGGTAAGGTAACAATTATTTTAGTAGTTCTTTTCTGCTCTAACTTGTTTCCTGTCTTACTTTAAAGCTAGAAGCAGTTTGTGGTTGCCAGTGAGATATATGCTCACTTTGAATGAGAGATGAGAGAAAGTCAGAAGTTCTCCCAGAAATTGGAAAAATTATTCAGAAAATAACTTCTAAATGTTTACATCATCTTGATGTAGTTTTTATTTTTCTGATTTATTTTTTGTAAATGGAATACTATGTGTAATGACAGAGTATTTACAGTATAATCCGTGCATATTTGGAAGAAATTACACCCAAAATACTCACAATGATTACCTCTGAGTGAGGGGATTTGAGGTGGACTTACTATCTTACTTTTATGCATTTTCCAAATTTTCTACAGAGAGCATACTTAACATTTATTGTAATTAAGAAAAATAAATGTGTATCCTTATATAGTGATTATTAAAAAAAAAAAAAGTTAGGTTTACCAGTGATTGTTAAATTGATTGTCACATAACCCAAAGCATCAAAGAAAGGAAACTTTAGAAATAAACACCCACTTTAAACTCTAACTAAGTTTGCTGTATTTGTAACCATTCTGGTTTCCTCTAAAAGTAACTGTCTCCTTCAGGATTCAAAATTATGCAGACTAGAGCCTGATAAGTCCGAATTGGAAAACTCAGGATTTGATGTAATGAGTGAAGAAGAGCTTGTAGCAGCTGTCTTAGAGATAAGTAAGAGGGAAACTTCACCATCTCTGAGTCATGAAGATGATGATAAACCAACTAGCAGCCCAGATACTGGATTTGCAGAGGATGATATTCAAGAAATGCCTGAAAACCCAGAACCTATGGAAACTGAGAAACCCAAAGCAATCACAGAGCCAGGTAGGTTTAAACATAAACACCTATTAAAGTATAATTGTGGTCCTAAGCCATAGTGGCACAGTGGTTAAGTGCTCAGCTGCTAACAGAAAGGTCAGTGGTTCAAACCTACCAGCTGCTCTGTGGGAGAAAGATGTGGCAGTCTGCATCCGTAAAGATTTACAACCTTGGAAACCCTATAGGGCAGTTCTCCTCTGTCCTATAGGGTCACTATGAGTCAGAATTGACTCAATAGCAGTGAGTTTGGTTTTGGGTTTGGTTAAGCCTTATAGTGACAAGTGGCTTCTAAATAACAGGAAGTGACATGGATCTGTATAACAGAAATAGTTAAGATAGCTGCCATTGAGTCGACTCCAACTCACGGTGACCTTATGTACAACACAAAACATTGTCCAGTCCTGTGTCCTCATGATCGCAGGCGTGTTCGAGTCCATTGTTGCAGCTATTGTCCCAGTCAACCAAAGGGTCAGCAGTTCGAAACCACCAGCCACTCCTTGGAAACCCTATGGGGCGGTTCTCCTCTGTCCTGTACGGTCGCTATGAGTTGGAATCAATTTGACAGCAATAGGTTTGGTTTTTGTTTTGGTTTTTTGTGGTACTGCTTCTAGGAGCCCTAGTGGCACAGTGGATAAGCACCCAGCTGCTAACTGAAAGTATGGTGGTTCAAATCCACCAGCCGCTCTGAGGGAGAAGGATGTGACAATCTGTTCATAGAGATTTACAGCCTTGGAAACCCTGTGGGGCAGTTCTACGCTGTCCTATAGTGTCGCTGTGAGTTGGGAATCAACTTAATGGCAATGGGTTTTGGGTTTGGTACCCAAATCATGATTTCAGATATTCTTCTATAACTCTTCTGTCCTTCCAGCTCACTTAATGTTATATTCTTCCTCCAACAGTTGCTCTCATTAAGACCTCCAGTCTATTGACTCCTACTTTTTTGCTATTCATCACCTCCCTTTTGTCATCACTTCCTTCCTTACCCAGCCTACATTCTATATTCTGGTATTTTTTTATCTCATTCCTTTCTCTTTCTCTGTCACAGTCACCTGACAGAGCCCCAACTTAAAACTCAGCTAGCTGCTTATTCCATGCTTGCATCCAACCAGCTGAAGATTACTAGAGAAAAATCACAAAAACTGTGCTGTCTGGACTTACCTCAGATTTTCTACTACAATGTTAAGTGGGCAGTAGACACTACTGGTTAATACTTCCTTAGTAAATTTCTTTTCTCATCTCCAGGATCTCTTCATCAAATCTCCTGTTCTCCTTCCACATACACTCTAGGCTCATGACTTAACTATACTTTTCAAAGAAAATAGGTACAGTCCAATGAAAACTCTACCTTTGCTTTTGTTACCATAGAGGAAGTGTCCCAGTTTTTATTTAAGGCCAGTCCCTTCATTCACATCTAGAATCTCATCCTGTTGTGCTTTCTCAAGACCTTCCATCTTGAAATTATACTCTTTCTATTCTGTATCAAGTCTTCTCTGTCTTCTAAATTATTCTCATTGTGCCTTTGTATCACCCACCTTTAAAAAGTTTCTTGTGATCTCACGTTCCCTTCCAGCTACTGCCCCCTATTTTGCTCCCCTTCACAGCAAGATTTCTTTAAAGAGTTGTTTTAATCTTTCTCTCTACTTTTTTACCACTTCCCATTCTCTCTTCAGACCTGTGCAAGTGGGCTTTCATCCCCACCAGTCTACTGAAATGATCTTCAGCAGGCTTAATATTAGCAATATTTCACACAGTTCGCCACTTCTTCCTCAGCATTTAAAACTTTTTAAACTTTCTTCTCTGAGCTTCCATGACACCACACATCGGGAGTTTTCCTCCTACTAAACCAACTACTCCTTTTAGTTTTTTTGTTTCCCTCATCAGAACTCTGTAGTTGCTGGAGCATTCCCAGGACACTATCCTCATCTGTCTTCTCTTCTACTTAAACTCTTTCTCTAAGTGATCTCACATAGTACCACAGCTTCACATACTGATAAAATAATCAAATTGATATCTCTAGCTTGGATTTCTCCCCTGAACTTTAAGCTTATACAGGCATACCTCGTTTTGAGTTTTGCAGATACTGCGTTTTTTACAAATTGAAGGTTTGTAGTAACCCTGTGTCGAGCAAGTCTGTCACCACTGTTTTTCCAACAGCATGTGCTCAGTTCATGTCTCTGTGTCACATTTTGGTAATTCTCGCAATATTTCAAGGTTTTTCATTATTATTATATCTGTTATGGTGATCTGTGATCAGTGATCTTTGATGTTACAATTGTAATTTGGGGGGGGTGCCACGAACAACACTCATATAAGATGGTGAACTTAATCGATAAATGTTGTTTATATGTGTTCTGACTGTTCCAGCAACTGGCCATTCCCCATCTCTGTCCCTCTCTTCGGACCTCCCTGTTACCTGAGACATGACAGTATTGAGATTGGGCCAGTTAATAACCCTACAGTGGCCTCTAAATGTTCAAATGAAAGGGAGAGTTGCACATCTCTCACTTTAAATCAAAATCTAGAAATAATTAAGCTTAGTGAGGATGGCATAACAAAAGCCAAGATAGACCCAAAGGCTTGGCCTCTTCCACCAAACGGTAAGCCAAGTTGTGAATGCAAAGGAAGAGTTTTTGAAGGAAATTAAAAGTGCTACTCCAGTGAACACACAAATGATAAGAAAGTGAAACAGCTTTATTGCTGATATGAAGAAAGTTTTAGTGGTCTGGATAGAAGATCAAACCAGTCACAACATTCCTTTAAGCCAAAGCCTAATCCAGAGCAAAGCCCTAACTCTCTTCAATTCTATGAAGGCTGAGAGAGGTGAGGAAGCTGCAGAAGAAAAGCCTGAAGCTAGCAGAGGTTGGTTCGTGAGGTTTAAGGAAAGAAGCCGTCTCCACAACATGAAAGTGCAAGGTGAAGCAGAAAGGGGTAATGTAGAAGCTGCAGCAAGTTATTCAGATGATCTAGCTAAGGTAATTGATGAAAGTGGCTCTGCTAAACAACAGATTTTCAATGTAGATCAAACAGCCTTATACTGGAAGAAGATGTCATCTAGGTCTTTCATAGCTAGAGAGGAGAGGTCAATACCTGGCTTCAAAGCTTCAAAACACAGGCTGACACTCTTGTTAGGGGCTAATGCAGCTGGTGACTTTAAGTTGAATCCAGTGCTCATTTACCATTCCAAAAATCCTAGGGCCCTTAAGTATTATGCTAAATCTACTACTCTGCCTGTGGAAACCCTGGTGGCGTAGTGATTAAGAGCTACAGCTGCTAACCAAAAGGTCGGCAGTTCAAATCCACCAGGCGCTCCTTGGAAACCATATGGGGCAGTTCTGCTCTGTGTCCTGTAGGGTTGCTATGAGTCAGAATCGACAGCAACGGGTTTGGTTTTTTTGTTCTTGTTTTTTTTTTTTTAACTCTGCCTGTGCTCTATAAATGGAACGACAGAGCCTGGATGACAGCACATCTGTTTACAACATGGTTTACTGAGTATTTGAAACCCACTGTTGAGACCTACTGCTCAGAAAAAAAGATTCCTTTCAAAATATTAACTGCTCATTGACAGTGCACCTGATCACCCAAGAGCTCTGATGGAGATATACAAAGAGATTAATGTTGTTTTCATGTCTGTTAACATAACATCCATTCTTTAGCCCGTGGACCAAGGAGTAATTTCAACTTCCAAATCTTATTATTTAAGAAATACATTTCATAAGGCTATAGCTGCCATAGATAGTAATTCCTCTGATGGATCTGGGCAACATAAATTGAAAACCGTCTAGAAAGGATTCACCATTCTAGATGCCATTAAGAACATCTGCGAATCATGGGAGGTCAAAATATCAACATTAACAGGAGTTTGGAAGAAGTTGATTCCAACCCTCATAGATGACTGTGAGGGGTTCAAGACTTCAGTGGAAGAAGTAACCACAGATGTGGTGGAAATAGCAAGAGAACTAGAATTAGAAGTAGAGCCTGAAGATGTGACTGAATTGCTGCAATCTCATGATAAAATTTCAATGGATGAGGAGTTGCTTTATATGGATGAGCAAAAAAAGTGGTTTCTTGAGATGAAATCTACTCCTGGTGAAGATGCTGTGAACACTGTTGAAATGACAACAAAGGATTTTAGAATATTACATAAACTTAGTTGATAAAGCAGCAGCAGGGTTTGAGAGGGTTGACTCCAATTTTGAAAGAAGTTTTACAGTGGGTAAAATGCTATCAGACAGCATTATATGCTACAGAGAAGTCTTTCGTGAAAGGAGGAGTCAGTTGATGCAGCAAACTTCATTGTTGTCTTATTTTAAGAAATTGCCATTAGCCACCCCAGCCTTCAGCAGCCACCACCGTCATCAGTCTACAGCCATCAACATTGAGGCAAGACCCTCCACCAGCAAAAAGATTACTGCTTGCTGAAGGCTCACATGTTGGTTAGCGTTTTTTAGCAATAAAGTATTTTTTAAAGTATGAACTTTTTTTTTAGACATAATGTTATTGCATACTTAGTAGACTACAGTATAATATAAACATAACTTCTGTACACACTGGGAAAACAAAAAAATTTGTGTGCTTTATTGCGGTGGTCTCAAAGCAAACCCACAGTATTTCTGAGGTATGCCTGTACATTGAAATATGTACTTGAAATCTCTATTCAGCTGTCTAATTTTTGTTTTCCCAAATATGCTTTCCCAATATCAATAAATGGTACCATCATTCATCCAGTTGCTCAGACCAAAAAACGTCTCCCTTAATCCTTTTTTTTTTTTTTTTT